GTGATGTAGTCGAGTTGGACTCGAGAAATGCACGGTGGAGTAGTTAGCTTATGTTAATAAGGGTGCATGGTGATGTAGTCGAGTTGGACTCGAGAATGCAAACATGTGTGTTAGGGTTGAACCCTATGTATTGTTGTGACTAGGGGTCACGGGATTTTGGGGTATGTTTGATAAACAAACCTTGGGCCTACGGGCCGACTACTTGACTTTATATATAAAGTAAGTATATTTTTAAAAAGGGGTAACTTGGGGTTACGGCCTAGATTATACTATCACCCTATTTGAGGGTCTTGTGTTTGAAATACTTGTTGTATATCTATTAGATGTCATCCACACCAGCACTTTATAGCCCTATAGAGTGCTGACCCCTTCGGGGGCGTCCCACCACCATTTTTCAGGTTGAGGCTAGAGCTTGCTTCCTGTGCTCGTTGCTCGAGAGATCATCTAGGAGCGAAGACTTGGTTCGTGCTTCCTCCATTCGGATTTTAAACATTAATAAACATGCTCATGGATATTTTACTATGGAGCCTGCGTGCTCATGAATAGCCCGGTGTGGCCTTTTGTTTTAAACAATGTTTTCCGCTGCATTATGAATTACTTATTATGTTTGTTTATGGATGGCTTACGTGTGAATGATATTCGAGACGCCTTGTATAATATGAATGTGTTGGACTGCGGTTGACTATTCGTATTGTACGGCGGGTTGTTGACGTGTCCGGGGAGGTCCGGGGCGTGACATATTGAGGATTAGAATGATATAGACAAATGTTGATGAATTGTGATTCCATATGATCTTAAAAAGGATATATGGATACCTATGTGGATAGGTAAAGTGATTAAATGTGAAATAAGGAATCCTTGAGTTATTGACATGATCAAAGTGATATGAATCCGATTAATTGTGTTTGCTATCTATGGTATTGAATATGATAGGCATGAACTTAGAATGAGTGATGGACTACAGTCACACTCAAAGAGAATGGTGGAGTCTACCTAGACTATATGAAGGCAGCTTGGGGAGTCTTGATGAAGACTAGCCCGAGGTTGATAGATTATGATTACTCGAATACAACAAGTATTGAGGTGGTCGAGGCCACGATCAAATAAAGATGTGAACGTTGGGAGATATATTAGGGGTGTGTAATCCCTACACGAACTAAGATTATATGGGGCGTGTAAGTTCTAAACGAATAAAACGTATACGGGGTGGTAAGCTCTAAATGAATAAAGGATATTATGCGGGGTGTGTAAGCCCTAAATGAATAAAGTATTATACGAGGTGTGTAAGCCCTACATGAATAAAGTATTATGCGGGGTGTGTAAGCAGTGGCGGATCTTGGATGTTAGTTTTGAAGGTTCAAATTTATTTTTATAAAATTTGGGTGTTCATATATATATATAGAAAATTTTACAATAGCATCCATATACATGTATTTTTACACTACTAGTTATAAAATTTGGGTGTTCACATGAACACCTTTGACATATAATAGGTCCGCCCCTGTGTGTAAGTCCTACACGAGTAAAACATTATATGGGGTGTGTAAGCCCTACACGAGTAAAGCATTATACGGGGTGTGTAAGCCCTAAATGAATCAAAGATATTATACTGGGTGAATCAAAGATATTATAGTTATCTAGCTATAAATAGGTTCCCTATCTTGAACTGTTTTTTCACACCTCCTACTATCACTCTTGCTTCACATATTCAATCACTTAATTAAAAAATATAATGGTCATTATGAAAACCAGTTCCACGATAATAGATCCATATCCATAATTTTGACACAGCATAAAGTGTGAAATGCAAAATGATATTAAAATTAAAATCTAATATTAAAATCTAAGTGAAAGTACAAATACTAATTTTGATGAGGATAATTAGTTAAAGTCATGAATGTATACTGACTTTGAAAACTAGTTACAAGTATATTAATCATACTAGAAATGATTAATTGATTAAATTAATACTGAATAATTAAATTGTGGGTCGGACCCCAAACATGGGGAGGGACTAACTAAGATATATTCTTGGACCAAGATAAATTAAATAAAAAGCCCAAGGATAAAGAAGTAAGTAATATGCAATTGTTAGGGCCGAATAGTAGTCAAATAAATGATATGAGAGATCATTCGAGCCCACTTACTAATAATAGAAATAAATGAATAAAAGTCATTTGGGCCGAACCGAGATATATCAAGTAACCAAAGTGGCGTTCTAATCCAAATTACCGAAAATAGCAAGTAAAAGAGTGAAGGGCTCCCTACACGTTAATTCGGGGTGCTAGATGCGTCATCTAGTCACCCTACGTCATGCTAGATGCTTCATCTAGTCATTCTATGTTATGCTAGATGCATCATCTAGTCATTTTACGTCATGCTAGATGTTTCATCTAGTCATTCTATGTTATGCTAGATGCTTCATTTAGTCATTCTACGTCATGCTAGATGCTTCATTTAGTCATTCTATGTTATGCTAGATGGTTCACCTAGTGATTCTATGTCATGCTATTATGCTAGATGTTTCATCTAGTCATTCTATATTATGCTAGATGCTTCATCTAGTCATTCTATGTTGTGCTAGATGCTTCATCTAGTCATTCTACGTCTTGCTAGATGCTTCCTCTAGTCGCGTTATTAAGTTCCTAAGCAAATTCTATGCCTAGCACCACCTTGGTTGTAGTAGCCCTTGAGGCATACTCCTAATATAATGTAGAGCTCATATGATCTCACCCTAAAGTATCTCTTACGACTATTTAAGGCATAGCTTTCCATAATCAAATTCTTTAGGATTAATTCTATAATAAATCGCATTAACATCCCGATTAGTACTTCAATACTAATCGAATAATTTTAGAACAACCAAGTCCTTAATTCATAGTCGTATGGCTCATCCCAATTGATTTACTAATCCAAGTACAATTTAATCACAATACCAATAATATCACTTTTATCCATTCATGAATTCTTTACATGAAGTAAAAGTATATTTTATTTCAATGTTCATAGTTAACTCAACTATCATGCCTTTATACTCATATCACATAATCATACACAATCTACTTCATAAATTTGTATATTATGCTTTACTTACTCATATATCATTCTTTTCATATAGGCATTATTAATCATTTTACAATCCATGGAAAACACATTTAATTACCTTAGGTAATCTTATGAAATTAACTCACTAATTATAAGCAATATATTCAACCATCCTCACCTTATTAAAAGTGCTGTAATAGTTGCCTTTGTTAAACCCTTCGATCAATCCCCGTTCTAAACTGACCGAAAGTAAAACCTGGACTGCAGGACAAAAGCCGGCCGACTTTCGTGAAAGGCGGGCGGTGTTCGCCTGCAAAAATTCGGGCAGCCTTTTGAACGACGGTTTCCGGTGATTTCGACTCCTTTAATCCAAACTATTTCTTGTTGGATTTCTTTCCTTTCAAGCTAGAACTTTGTGGAGAACCTTTTTTTTTTCAAAGAGCTTCTCTCTTGAATTTGGTTGTATGGCGGGAATTCTAGGATAGGGGAGGAGTATCTCTATTCTCTACCCAATCAATCCCAAGAAAAGTTCAAGCTAGTATGGTCAGTAGCTGAGACTGAAGCAGTACGTTTGAAGGAAGCGATAGCTGGGGCAATCGAGGATGGAATAGAGTAGAGTTTGAGACTGATGCCATGACGGTCGTGAAGGGCATCCATAACGGAGGGAGGGCCATCTTATTTTCATATCATTATTGATGACATTAGGGGAGTGTTAGAAACTAAGAGTAATTTTGTTGTCTTTTTTTGTAAACGGTATGCGAATCGTGTTGCTCATACACTTGCAATAGCACACGTGAATCTCCCAGATCAGCATAGTAGCTATGATGTTATGTCTAGGGGTGGACCGGTTCCGGTTCGGGCCCGGTTCGGGCCTGGGCCCGGCCGGGCCTCGGTTCAGAAAAAGGAGGCCCGGGCCCGAACCGGTAGTGGGCGGTTCCGGTTCCGGTTCCGGGCCAGAACCGGGCCGGGCCGGGCCGGGCCACCCGGAATGTTTTTTTTTTTTTTCTTCTTCTTCTCTTATTTAACCCCCTACCCCTCCCCCTCCACCCCAAACCACCCCAAACCACCTCAAATGGCCCAAAATACCTAATCCAACCCAAAACTTAAAAAAATTTCAAAAAAAAAAAAAAAAAAAAATTAAATTCCGGCCCGAACCGGGCCCGGCCCGGCCGGGCCGGTTCACTAAACTGGAGGCCCGGGCCCGGACCGGTATACCACCGGGCCTGGAGGCCCGAACCGGAACCGAACCGGTTGACCGGGCCGGTCCGGGCCCGCACAGTAGCGGGCCGGTCCGGTTCCGGGCCGGTTGGCCCGGCCCGAGTCCATCGGGTTGTATTTCTAGCCAAATGACTAATGACTTTTTGGATTAATAATATTTGTTGGATTTGATGATTAAAAAAATGATGTCTTTCAATTATAGTCAAATATCATTCAATTATCAATAATAGAAATTGTAATAAATTAAATAATAATTAGTTTTGTACTAAGGGGGTGTTTGGTAGGATGTAAAATAATTACTTTGCATGCGAAGTGTAAGGACGTAAAATGTTTACATTGTTTGGTTTGATTATTTAATGTAAACTGGATGACACTTTTTTAAAACATTTCTCACTGTACCATGTAAAGTATTTTACGTGGGGGTGGTAAAATACTTTGCATCCTTTTATGAAACACTGCAACGACTTTGCGTGCAATTTAAAAATAAATTACATATAAAGCCAAACAATGTAATCTATTTTACATGTAAAATGATTGCTTCCATATGATTTGCGTTCAATCACTTCGCGTGTAAGATTTAACATGTAAAGAAATACTGAAGCAGTAGGGTTTCAATAACACTTTGGCACTAAATATCCATAAAAAATCATGCCTTGGTGGTGTTTTGAGCTATTATTTCATTATTAATTAAAATAATATAATCAGCATTGTTAGAACATTTGTCTATTGAGAATTTGTTTATTTATTAGTCAAAACACCAATTTTTGACATGTTCAATATACTACATGCTTCCCTTTTGACATGTTCGTTATACAAAATTGAAAAAAGTAAAAACAAATATACATAACTTTCCTCTGAAGAACGGCATGATCTTATTATGCCCCTCGAAAGACAAAAAATGGAAGGCAAGATCACTGAATTCAAAATAAAAAGGCCAACAAGAAAACCAAACACTGGGAGGGCTACTAGCATATTACAACCCCATAGCAGTAAAAAAACCACCTTGACAAAAAAGAATGAATGAATAGATCTACTTGAATTGGCATGCTAGGATTATTGGAGGTCAAAACAAAAACTGTGCTGCCAAAACATGACTTATTGGAACTTCTTATCCCCCCTGGGACTGGAGAAGTTAGAATTGGTTTCTGAAGAACACACCTCAGATGAAGAACTGCTTGATGATGTGTCTCCACCGAGATCATCAATTCCATTCCTGAAGCTCTTGAAAGGTAAGGTCGAATTGGGTTGGGGATAATTACTTCTTTCCCGCCCTTGTCCTTCCTCCACTAGCCGTTTAACCATGTCCATGACCGTAGGAATGATCTTTGTTGATATAGAAATAATACCAGGAAGCTGTATAAGCATAAAACACCTCATGAAAATATTACCAGCTCACATGATTCATAGATTTTGTATAGAAGGGGTAAATTGATTCATTGAAGAAGTTTTTAAGACATATGGAGCTACACAATTTTCTTTTTCTGTTCTTTTTTCTAGAGTTTGACACCCAATTAGTTCAAATGAAATGAGAAGGGATTGGACTTTTTTTAAAATTGCAGTTACATTAGACAATAGTAAGGAATTCTAAGACTAAAACTTACAGCTCCATTTCGGAATTCACCCGCGATGTCTAGTTGCACCCATAGTGCTTTTAAAAGAAGAAAAGCAACAAATATAAAAGCCAAGTACAAAGGATTTCTGGAAACAAAAACAAGGCAAAACCAAGACGGGTCATATATGGATCCACAATAAAAAGGGAAACAAGAAAGAAGTTTGAGCAACATAAAAGCACCTTAAAAGCGTCATAAATTCATTGAATCCCAAGATAATTAAGGCAAGAATTGCCCATGGAGGCGGCAACCAGTTGTTGTTTCTCTTGCTTGTCTCCTGAGTGTTGAGAAAAAAGGCAACCAACAAACTTCTAAGTATGGACAGAATCTAATACATACCCAAACAGATAATGCTACCAACAAGCGTAATTACGCCTGCTAGAAGAAGAAATAAAAATTTGATAAGCCATGCCTGAGCAGATATGGCTTGGGTGACAGTGTATTCTGTCTCAGTTTTAAATTGCCTCCACAAAGTCTTGCACTGAACAGGCGTGATCAATGTTTTTGATGGATCAACCTGTTATAAAGATTATAATAAAACTAGTTTATAGATTAAAAATGATCTAATACCTCAGATTAAAAATTAACCTATTAATGCAATTACATAGTCCCAAGTGCTTGAGGCCAGAGGGTCAAGTGATGTGATACTTTTGTTAGCAGCCACCCCTGGTTTACCATCCAATAAATCAAGGGTCAGGATTTTTGAAATATTATCAGCTTCATCATCCAACCGGATTGCAGCCATGACTGAGAGTATCTTCAGAGACTGAGACATTAATGAAAGAGACTTAATTGAAATACTCCTATTTAAAAGGAATCAGGTTAGGAATACTCAGGTAAGCATTATTGTCTTACAGATAAACGAGCAGTTTTGGTAATGGCTCTGATGTCTTCCTTTCCTGTCCAAACTCTTGGGATTGAATCTGTGTCATGGCTAAATATTGTTGAAAACCTCTCCTTCATGCGCATCAAAACCCTTCCAGCTTCTTCCCTAGCCTTTGTTTCCACCACTTCTCTAGCATAATCTTTCAACCTTGAAAGTATATCACTATGGGTCTCTTCATCCATCTTAAAACCAGAAAGTGCAGAAGAAAAGCCATGGATTGTTGCATCTGTTTCACGTCTTAGTAGTTTTCTTATTGCTGGCCATGTATCATCACTAGCTCCATCCAACAGAGACTCAACTGGTCCAGACAACGCCTCATTCAGTTTTTTCTGTATGATTTGATGAAAACATTTTAATCATAAACCTGATCTAATTCATAAATAGGTTGGGTTCTCAATTCGCCAGTCAAACCAAGGTCTTATAACCCAATTGGTTAACAGCCCTTCTAATACACAAGTACTCCAGGACCCCCACTAAACAAGTACTACAGACCCTCCAGTATATTAACGATATAGGGCCCGAATAATAAAAAACTATCAATCTAAGACCTAAAATTTCATGAATTTTAATATTTTTTGTATTTTAAAAAATTCAAATATTAGTTAATCTTATTAAACAAATAAACTTTTGTGAATAAAAAGCATCAAAAGTTAACAATGTAATTAAAAAAAATTAAGTAAACAAAATGTATGATATGTTAGTGTAACACCCCGGCCTCCGTAGGGTCTGAGGTAGTTACTCAAGACCTCTAGTACTGTCCTCACAAACCATCATAAGCCTTTACCGAGCACTTTGTCCTCACTCATGCGCGCCCTGAGAAACTTCCTAGGGGGTCACCCATCCCAAGACTAATCTCGTGCAAGCACGCTTAACTTTGGAGTTCTTGGGTGATGAGCTCCCTTAAAAGGAGATACACCTCTGTTGGTATGAGTAGTACTATCAATCCTTTTAAATTAATCTCAAGTGTTACAGTTAGGTCCTAGATTGATAGTTTTCAATCATTCAGGCCCTATATTAACACACTTTATCTTTCAGGTCTCTTATTGATAGTAAATGCATCTTTCAGGTCTTGGATTGATAAAATTCTATTAAATTTGAAAGAGTTTAAGTTTGATTTTTTCATAATTCCTTCTTGTGCCAGACCAGCTGCAATAGTTCTATGTGGGACTAACAAAATCGCCCCCCAAATGGCCAAATCTAATCACAGGTTCCAAATGATCATTACATTTATGCCCCGTCCCTTTCTTCAAATATATTACTCAGTGTCATGCCAATTTACCTCGTTAAGGGTTGTAAGTTCATCCAGCTTGGAAGCACGGACTGCAACAATATGGGCATCAACATCACGCTTGAACTTATCTTTTATTTTAGACGAGTCCCAGTTAGCTTGGTCAATGGCAGCATCTGTAGAACAGTAGGTTATTTGCTTTGGAGACTAGCCATCGTAATACTTTAGGTGCAACAATTTACCAACTATAAATTGGCATTATACTTTTTATGCGATAACTGATAAGAATGCCTTCATAGTTCACATATTAAGAAAATTACTTTGGCATTATACTTTTCATGTGATAATGGATAACAATACCTTCATAGTTCACATGTTAAGAAAATTACTTTTCATTGGCCTTCAAAATATGTACCTTTGCATTTATCATCAAATTGTACCAAACACGACTCGCTGCACTCAGAAGTAGCCACTGCAAAGTCTTTCCCCGCGCTCAGTGCACTACTAAACATTTCCTTGAATCTTTCCATCACCTCGGATCGTATGTGCCCCAACATGGATTGGTAAGATGGTTGGATAAGCTACAAGGTAGGATCAAGATGAGCATGGCAGCATGCAAAGAACCAGGATTTAACATGGGTCACATCACACTAAAAGATTGAATTAATTTGATTAGCAAGTCAAACTCAAGACTTAACAATTAAACTCAAGCACTCTTAACAATCCTGAATCAATTTGGACACTTCTATTGTAAGTAATGTTGCCCTAGCAAATAGATGGTAATGGTTCTATTTCCTGAACTGATTTGTCACAAAAGTTTCATAGTTCTATAAGGGAAAACGGACTGCTCTTACGCCTTGGACGTCTTGGAGTTTGAATTTCACTTCATCTAGTTAAATTCCTTGGGACAGATGAGATGATTATTCACAAGTTAAATACATGAATAATGCATGGACCTATCTTGTGGACACATTTTAACCATGTAAAATATGAAAAAGAATATTATATTGTTAGTTTTTTGGAACAGATGGGAAGAGAGTATTATGATGGGAGCCAAATTTACCTGTAGCAATTTCTGTTCCAACTGTTTTCTTTTTGCCACTCTCACACCTTCATCAAAAAATGTGGCCTCATCATCATACCTGAACATGCAGTCTTAGTAAGGCCATACCCATACGACATATCTAGTTTTAAGAAGTTAGTCCATTTTGTTATTGCATAAAATATAAATACAACATACTCCCTCCGTCCTAAAAAGAATCCTCTTTTAAGAACTTGTTTTGTCCACCAAAAAAGAGTGGTATAATGAGACACGGGTCTTTATTCATTTTTTGAGTATTTTTTTTGTAAAGTGAGGCGTCATGCGATTTTAATCCATTGCACCAAACAAACTTAGAAATAATTTGTAAAAATTTGATAAACAGAAAAAGGATATACCTTGGGGTATAAATGCCAGGTTTACAATAAGAATAAAAAACTACTGTACACAAAAGGGCGCATGACTATATTAATATATATATGGAACATATCATAAGAACAAAAGGGTGCACCGATTTGATAAACAGAAAACCCAAGAGCAGTAGATAAGGATATACATATTATATGGATGCCTAGCATTCTATGTGCAACAATATGATTATATGATTATACTTACTCGGACAGACAAGCAGCCAGTATTGAGTTAACCAGCTTCCCAAATCCAGGCACAGCATGAGATTGAACTGCCTTCTCTACTTTACACCATTCCTATTATATATCCACATTAGCATTTAATAATAATACTGTTCCACTGAACATGTAAAAGAAGGAAGGGTGTGATTAACTCGTTAAGACATTATTTAAAAAAATAAAGATACCTCATTTGAAGTAAACGCGACATATTTTTCGTTTGAAATTTCTTCACAACGTACAGTAGCCACCATAACCTTTAATTATATATATATACATGCGCGTGTACCAAACAATCATACCATGAAACTAGAAGAATACTTGAAAGAAAATTTCAGGCTCTATTTTTAGGTGATAACCTTGTGTGCTGGAAGATCAAGATCCTTGTTTTCCTTGATTATTTTCCACATGTGTTGTGCACTAAATGAGAAACCTGATGCTGGAACAACTGCCCGCCTATCTCCAGCAAGCCCACCAGGTTCAATAGAGTGAAAGAACCTTTGTCTTAGACTAGCCACCTCCGTGAAAAGAATTTCAAAAAAGGTGATAAAATTAATAACTTCACTTCTGATTGCAACAAACACATGATAATACATATAGCTATAGTAGGCATTAGATGACAAAAAATCTGTAACAAACTGCTTACCTGCTCTTTGAATTGTTCTTCTTTCTCTTCAAAACTATTAAGAGCTACAACCTCAACCTGGTAGACAGATTCTATTTATACGGGTACTACTTGCAAACAAAATCGATAACTTACAGGAATGAAAAGGTCTCTATTGATGAAACATACATTGAAAAATTCACTTAGAGGAGTTTCTGTGTGAGTCTGAGTCTTTGGGACAGAATCCCATATCTGATCACAAAAAGTGAGGAATAGTCAACTGCAAAACTGAGAATAAAAAATATTAAAAATAGCATGCAGCGTACCTTCTGAATATCTTCCCTCAAAACAGGCTCCAAATTCTCAAGAGGTGTCTATAGGACACAGTTTGAATTACAACCAGAAAAGTAAGTAACTATGTTATTAGATCTAAATTCACGACTTTCCACAAACCATGGACAAGATAGGATCATACCCTTGTTTTGTCGCGTATAACAAACATCAAAGTTGTTTTGCGTGGACTAAATAATCGCATCATGACCTGTTTGCAATAATGTTGATTTAGTAAAACGTCGTCCCTCATACCTTAATGTCAGGCATGACAATGAACATATTATTGTACCTGGAAAACTGTTTTCAACAGAGGCTTGTTTGCAGCTTGCTCACGACCAATATCATGACACCACCTGAAGATGCACCCTTATTTACTCGTATTTAAGAAGTTGAAGAAAAAAAATATCTTTTGTAATCTTGAAGTATATATCATGTGTTTGCCCAAAACAGGTCAGAGATAAACTTACATGTTAATTAGAACTATATCAGAAACAGCAAGGGCAAACAAGGAACTTTGCTTCTCAAATGTTGTATCATCCTAACAACAAATATATCAAATGAGAAACTGTGTTCTTGTCACCATTATGACACGCGATGAACAAGCTGATTTAGCCATACCTCTCCACGCTCTCTTCCATCAGTGCCCTCTAAATCCATTACAAGTGTGCACGGCTCAACCCCAACACAACGAGCCATCCAAATTCCTTTTGTGGTTTGTGACCTGAGCATAAGAAGAAGATCAAACCAACTGCATATAGATATACCCAAAGAAGGCATATCATAGATTCATAGAAGCTTAGCAAAGTCATACCTTCCCATGATAGCATCCATCTCTTGAAAGTTCGTATGAAATAAATGATTTAACAATGTACTCTTACCTGTTAGAGTCGAAAAAGTAATAACTAATAAGGTTGAGGTATTGAAAAGTCATCAAAGTCCAAATCACATGCAAAGAAAATGAAGAATAAAGACTTTTATTAATCAGTTCAATGAAACGAGATATATATACCACTACTCTGTGGACCCATTATTGATACGACAACATATGACAGCCCACAATCTGCTAGCCTAACTTCCTTCATGAAATTTTCAATTCCAGCAACATTGAAGTTACCATCCCCATCAATGAGTTGAGTTGAGCAGCACCCATCAGTTTTATCTGATATAAGTAATTACCGTGGCAAGATAAAATAGATAATGGAGATATGAACGAAGTTAAAATGCATCATTCCCATTCACAAAGAACCTGAAGATAATGTTTACTATGCGATATGTAACACCAAGACTTGAATACTTATGATTATTTCTTCATAAGAATTTAAATGCTTGCCTACACCACATGGGAACAATAAACAAATCCATATATGATGTATATATATATATATAAAAACACCCTTGGATGAGATAATTTATATTGGGTAATTTTAAAAGGAGACTAAACTGGAGATAAAGTCTAGACACAGCCAATTCCTCCTCCTATTGCACATTCACAGCAACACCGCAGAAAATATAACGTTGATAAGAAAAATGAGATGGTTGCAAATGTGCAAATAACTAATTGGAAATCACTAACTAATTCCAATTATGTGCAAAATTGACATGGTTAAGGTCAAACCAATTAAGACTAGGAAGACACATTCAATTGATTTTCTATCAAACTTGAAACTTGAAACTGATAAGACATTTAAAAAAAACTCAAATTTAAAAAAAATGAATTTCAAAATGGAAGCCAGAATAAACCTTAATGCTTTATTATTATACCAGAAACGTGTATATGTATTTAGAGTAATGATGCAAAAAAATTGACCCTGAGTAATTTTAGGCTACCTCACTGGATCAAAACGATGATAAACGAGGCAGCAAATTAAACTGGTGAAATACAAAATGATTGAAATGTTGTAGCTAAGAGCGGATCAATGCACAAATAAAGTTTGATAAAAAAACATATCATGAAAACAATAAATGAATCGAAATGAATTGGATTAACGGGGAGTAGAAGGCAAGGCGTACCCATGCGTAATCTGTTTGAGATGAAGCTCTGACAATGGTGGGAAGGGATGAAAATTGTGAAAGAAAACTAGGCCTGCATTTGTATTCCTGCGTTCGAACAGTTTGGAGACGGGAGAGAAGAAAACGACAACGGCGAGTTTGTTATCTCGAGAAAATACGATTGGGGTTCCCGCGAGCCTAATTAACGTCTTAAAATGTGCAGCTTTCCTATATTTACTCCTGTGTGCTACACTTACCTTGAGGAAATTCTGGGTCTATGCGTCATTTATGATTTATACACATTTGTATATTGAATCTATTTACTTGGTATACACAATTAATTTCAAATATTTTAAAAATATAGAAAATATTATATGAAAAATAGTTAAAATGGTTGAAACTTCAATCAATTCAACCAATAATTTCAATTAACCTTCCTGATTATAATTATAACACAATTTAATGCATAAAAGTAAGAGCTACACATATAACAAAAGATACGGAGTATTAATTAATTGAAAAAGCAGATATATTGAAAATAGAGTTATCAAACATATTAGAGGTATATCCCGAGAAATTGGATGTCCATTTAGGATGTTTTCTTTTGGACTGTTTTCAGTTCAGATCAAATCAAATAAGACCAAATCAGATCACACTTCCATAATTTTAAAATACACAAAGATCAGACCAGTTGAAACCAAATCAGATTATTGACACTTCTTAGATTGTAGAGTGTAGTTGTGGGATTGTCACATTGCTTACTGTTATATTCTAATTAATTTGTTTTGAAAACATTTCAAAACAATTTGGTAGTCGGAATATATATGGCCACGTTCAAAACCATACCCTTAAAATGAATTCGATCATTTGCGAGAGAAATGATGGGATTTGTTGAACATGATATGGTCGTGGTCTATATAATAATATGATAAATATTTCATTTGAAAATAAATGTACAAGGAAAAAATATAAGATGGTTAATTTTATATTTTAGTTAAGTTTAATTTAATTTTTCTTCCTGAACATCAATAAATTATTAATTTCTTGAATTGGAGAAATAAATAATGGAACATACTTATCTTTAAGTTTAGGATACTTATGCTATAAAGAAAAAGAATCATGTTTTTGTAATGTAGTTTATTTTTAATAGGTAAATGTGTTCAATTTTGTCAAATATTAAGCGATGTGGAAACATAAATGTTTGTATGACATTAAATTTACAGAATTTATTGAATAATGACTTCTTCAAATTATTCTAGCTAGTAGTAATAAAAATATAATGTACCAACTATATGAAGTAACAACATAAAAAAGTGTAATTTAAGAATTGGATTATATTCTTTATTCTAATAAAAATATGAAGTTAAAAACTTCATCGAGGAAAAGGTCATTCAAAGTTTAAAATATGGTTGGTGTGTATCGAGTAGACCTTTTTTAGAGCATTTTAATTATAAAATATAAATTATTCTTCTTATTGCGTAAATTTAGTTTGTGATGTACTCGTATTTCATTATCGTACGGAGAAAGATCTTTAATTTAAAAAAGGCATAGTGCGCTCACTAAAAAACGCTCACTTGCTCTAAAAAAACCGCTGACTTAAACATAAATCATGGATCCATCCTGTCTTTCATCAAACACTGTTTTATTTTTTGAAAAATAAAAGATTATTTATGTAATTTATCTATATTTTAGGTTGATTTAAATCATTGATTTAAATACGAAGTAGTTAATTAGGTTGTTAAGTATGTTCAACACTAAATCAATCAATGTCAATTCTCTTCCAAATAGTTCGCAATCGTTGGCGCGTTTTATATAGATAACGTGCATTGATGGATAATTGTTACTCATATTATATTATTTAGGAGAGATTATGAGTTAGTGGAGAAGAGAAATGAACGGTAGAAATGACTATGAATATTAATTTAGGGTTACAACTTACACTACTTCCTATAGAGAGTATATATAGAAAAATTGTGGGTTGAGCCGCTAGTATGGGCCCGATAGGCCCTACTACATAATAATGTAATCGAGCATGCATATACAAATGGATGCGTAAACTGTACAATAATATAAATGTTGTATGTGGAGTGTACGTGAACAGTTGCGCAAGTCCAATATTCAGCAATCAGGGATCCAAGTTCATATATTCTATCATGCATAAATGAGATTATCAATGTTTTGTTTCTAAAAAATGACTCATTCACTCATAATTGAGAAATTTTGTACAATTAGCATAATATGTCTTATTTTAGAAATAAAGTACAGTTAGTCTTATTTTATTTATCCTCACGTATTGACTATATTTGACCCAACAAGATTAAGCTAGATATAGTATATTTTGTTACAAGCTTTTGTCTGAATTAAATACTACTCCGTATTCCGTATTTTAATTTGAAATGTTGAGTCTTAATCGAATCAAGTTGACCCTTTTTTCGTTTTAATCTTAATTATTTGAAGCAGTTTCTTTGTTGTATTTAAAATAATCGTCATTTACTATCTCAATCATTTGAGATCAGATTAATAAAACCGTGTCATGTGTGCAAAAAATGAAAATTTTACTATCGCAAAATGTGACTTGATAATTTTTAATATATTCAAAACTTAAATCATTATCACTACATCAAGACAATTTTGAACCCAATAATTAAAAATTTTCATTTTTATCTCAATTTCTTCTGCAATCTGATCAGGTTCACATAAAAAAGAATAATACACATCATCACATTCACGAATACGTAGTAGATGAAATTAAAAAAGAATAGTAATGGAAGCAGCGAAGGATGCTACACGTGGAAACCGATGAGGAAATGGGAAGTTGCATGCGAGCAAATGTGGCATACCCCATGACCCCACGTCTCCTGCCACGTTCCTGCCATGCACCAACCCTACGCAACCTTAAATACCACCTTCAATTCCCCCGACCGCCACCTCGTACTTAATTACCTTCCACCATTAATTAACCTTCGTAAGTACAATTTGACCGGTCAGCGCAATGCCGGGGCTCACCATCGGAGACGAAATCCCAAACCTCGAAGTCGAAACCACCCATGGCAAGTTCAAGCTCCACGACTACGTGGATGGCGCCTACGTCATCCTCTTCTCCCACCCCGGCGACTTCACGCCGGTGTGCACGACGGAGCTGGGGATGATGGCGGTCTACGCCGCCAAGTTCGCCGAGCGGGGGGCGAAGCTCCTCGGGCTCTCGTGCGACGACGTCGAGTCGCACAAGAAGTGGATCAAGGACATTGAGGCCTACAACGACGGCCATAAGGTCAACTACCCTATCATCGCTGACCCCGACAGGCACCTCATCAAGCAACTCAACATGGTGGATCCCGACGAGAAGGATGCCGCCGGGAACCAGGTCCCTTCTCGAGCTCTCCATATCGTTGGCCCCGACAAGAAGGTATCCACAAATAATAGAGAAATTACTTTCATCGCACAAAATTTGGTCAAATTAATTTTTCTTATTATGATAATTGATACTACCTCTGTCCCCTAAGTTTGGGACAAAGGGGTGTGGTGTGGTTTTTAAGAAAAAGTGGAATTGTATGGTTAGTATTGAATTGATAAAGTATGAATAAAGTAAAAATAAATTCTAACCACTCAAATGTTACCAAATATGGTATGAGACAAACTTAGTGGGACGGACAAAAAAGGTAAAACGAGACAAACTTAGTGGGACGGAGGAAGTACGTATAGTGATACTCTTACGGTATCAAAAAGTTCTTCAAAATGATTTTTGGATCTGGTCAATGACAATCAATTTTGACCAGATACTGACCTATATATTTTGAATATTGATAGAGATTGATATTCACAACATTGTTCATATTTCGAATTTCACAACAAATTCTGACTAAATGCATATTTATAAAATCAACAATGCACGTGAAGAATATAATAAATTAAAATAAAATAACTACTCAAATTTGTTTTCATAAATTTATGTCCTATAAATTTTTGTTGTTGTATGTTGGCCTGTTGGGTACAGATAAAGTTGAGCTTTTTGTACCCGGGGAGCACGGGAAGGAACATGGATGAGGTGGTGAGGGTGTTTGACTCGCTAAAGAAGGCTGCGGAGCACAAGATTGCTACCCCGGTTAACTGGAAACCGGGTGATCCGGCGGTCATCGCTCCCTCTGTCTCAACCGAAGAAGCCAAGAAGATATTTCCCCAGGGTTTCAAATCCGCCGACCTTCCTTCGGGCAAGGACTATCTCCGCTTCGTCAACGTCTAATTACTAATATAATTAGTACTCCGTAATCCGCATTATATATATTTAATTATACTCTAATCTTAGAATATAATATAATCGTCTATACTATGCTCGTATATATATATGTAATTATATATATATATATATATATTCCGTCCTAGTTACCACCGCTTATATACTATATTCTGTACTACGTATATAGACCTACGTTTATGCATATATAATATCTATTGTTTTATACGTAGTATTTTAAAATACAGTTTTAAATGGCTGATGTGTCACCATCTTATTGGTTGAGAAAAAATTCAATTAACACTACTATTTAAAACATTTAAAGAAGCTGAATATTCGTAAATGGGCAAAAAGATGGGGAAAGGGACTCTATATATACTAGACGTTCTATACGACTCCAATAATAATGAAAATGTTTACAATCAAGACAAACAATAATTAATTGATTGGACATTAATGAAATTAATGTTTACACACTCCTAATTCCAATACAACTTAAACAATAATTAATTGATTGGACATTAATGAAATTAATGTTTACACACTCCTAATTCCAATACAACTTAAACAGCCTAACCATTTAAGCCTATAATTAATAAATACGGAAACAAATAAAACAATACAGCACCGCACATACATCATATTATCATAATAGTATTTTTTTTTTTAAAGCAACATCATAATATTAGGCGTCACACACTTTTTAAAATAAAAATGGTGAACTAATTGGATTTATTAAAGACTAATTGGATTGGTAACAATTTTTTATTCAACTTGATATACGTGTTATTAATAGCATATAATGAAAAGCATATCTTGCTAAATATATGCACATATATATAAGTATATAACATGTACTCCGTACTTGATATAAAATATCACATTTCATCATGTCTTTTGTTTTATATAATAAAATTGTCTTATATACTTGATATAAAATATCACATTTCATCATGTCTTTTGTTTTATATAATAAAATTGTTTTATA